ATTTCATAACAGTCATTTTCAAGCAATACTGACTGATGGGATTCATAAGAGAGAGCTTTTGTCAACAGTGAGTTCAGATCCAAAAGAAGACGACAACATCACTGGCTCATCACTTAAGCTAAAGGACTGACTTGACTAGATTGGATGCTTTAGAAGAGCAAAGTACCCTAGATCAGACGTGGATTAAACTGAACAGGTGTTAAAGTATATACAAACACAATGTCCTTTTAAATTTTACTTGTGTCTTTTGTGATTACACAAAAGCCTGAATGGGAGGATGATTGTTGCAGAGTTGAACATTTTGCAACAATCTTCACAAGACAAAAACCCAAGGCACTTATAATTTTGGAACACTGTCTGACCCAGTTTAGGACTTTTCATTTGGCAGAATAAAGTACTAAATTGTGTGGGATGACGACCAAGGCCAAGTATTAAGGCAGCCTGTTGACTGAAGGTTTGTGCAGGACATCTCATTTCAGTCTGTCTTCATAAAATGTACAACCAAACCATTTTAATCTCAGGGGTCAGCTGGACTATCAGTAAGGTTTATGTAAATATGGTACCATTAAACAAATACTATACAAAGTATTAAAGATCATTTGTCTTCCTTACTCTGTGCTTCATGTCTTGTCTGTACTGAAATCTTTTCATGTCCATTTGCTTTTGGGAACAAAATGAGCATGAATGCAATGCTATTAGCTAAGAGCATTTTATGCTACTGTAGTAATTTATTATCTTTATATGTCTGGAGGGTCAGTGTAAAGAAAAGTCCTATTTCAGATCATTTAAAGTTAATATACTCTCTCCATATTAACAGCAGCATTTCATGTACAGAAGTACTATTGTGGAATTTTCTTAGTCAGATTCCTTTACTAGTTAGCATTCAACCCAGGGAAAATTGATAGTAGTTATGTAATAATGAGGTGATGGTAGTATATATCCTTCCAATCTACCATGAAAAAAGCTGCATGAGAAATTACTCCATGCCAAAAATAAGGGCACACTCTAAGCATAAACATCTTGTGTAAGAATGTTGCAGGGGCAACAAGAGACAGCATCTGGTGGATATTTCATATCCACATAATTTGGATCAGCGAATACAATGGTGTGTCATTTCCTTCTATGATAAACCCGTATTGTGCAACAATTACTCTTTCCAGACTGCTTCAAAAGCTGTACAAGAGCTCTAATAAGAGCTGTACTGAGTGTACTAAGACTACTGTATTTTGGTGGGGGTTTTTTTTGTTTGGAGTTTTTCTGTTTTAAAAAAGGCCAAAAAAATTACACCAACTAACTGCTTCTAATAACAAGAAATAAGGGAATGTCTTTCATAATTATGAAGTATTGTTTAGGGACCAGATGAATTCTTTATATAATACTGTTGAAAATAGCCAAGACAGTGTATTCTTTGCTAGGTGTCACAGATGTTTGGCATTTTGTGTTTGAAGCCCATCTTTCAAAGCAACCTAGAGTCAGTTTACTTAAGCAAACAAGATGTGAGTTCACATCTCAAATTACTTGCATCCTGATAACTTTAGAAACATTGAAAAAAGAAAGCCTAAGACTAATTTGATCCTGTGACTATTGTAGATCCTTAAAATCATTCAGACAACAAAGTTTGTGAAGCTGTTCAACCTAAAGCACTACGACAGGTATCGTTAAATAAACTCCGAATGTATTTACAAAAGTTACATTGATGATTCCTAGTAATCACTTCCTCTTTTCAGACATAAAACTAGATGATCTCATTTTATCTTGAGCTTTCCCTCAAAAAAATTGCTGAAATCTTAAAATTGCTACTACAAAAATATATATAGTAGAAATAGCTCCTCAGCTGCAGTCTGAGTTGAATTATATAGGGATGACTTACTGAGGAATAATCTTGTGCCTTTCCTAGATCAGTTTAATATTCTATTAACTGTGTGGTTGGGAAAGACTCTCACCAGAAGGCTCTTCTGTGTTCTCTGCAAAGACCATCATTGTGGTTCATCCATCTTTCTAAGTCTTACAAACATTCCTGAATCTCAAAAATTTTTATAGACACTTATAATTCAGCCAATTAATATGCAAATATTACTCTAAGTCTATAGCACACTGAGTTTAATTTCACAGAAAACAAAATACTGTTTTTAAAATGCTATGCACACTGCTGTCCTTACAGGTAAGAACATTACTGCAAATGCTAGGATGACGAATCCTTATTCATCACTAACCAATAATAGGGAAGCAAAAGATTGTAATTTATTCTTTATTATGCATTTTTATTAATAAGTATTGGTATCTGGGGCATGCATAATAACACTGCAACAATTATATCTATCACAGCATTACAACAGAAATTACCTGAAACCTTGTATTTTTGCTTTTTGTGAACAGTGTTTACTGCTTCTGCAGTCTTACTTGAGATTCAAACCAAACTACCTGGTAAGTCTGGCTGATAAAGATATCCACCTCAAAAATGATCAGGCAAGATTTTGGCACAATCTGCTTTAAGTTATATTACACCAGGGGATGTCACCAGTGAAGACACAGTACCGAAATTTGTGATGCAACTTGAATTATTTCTGGAAAGGGAATAGAGTAATTCATCATCCAGCAATTATGTAGAAGCAAGACAGTAAATAACACAGATATAATTATTATTTATAGTCTTATTTGTTGTTATTACTGGAGGAAGATCCTAGGGATATGTTCTTTGCCTATACAGAACCAGTCACACTTATAGCAAACACCATCATTTAAAACCAAAGCCACACTGAAATGCCAATGCAGAGAATAAACACAGTCAATTGTCTGGGACAAACCATGCTTGATGACTGATTTGTGACAGTCCAAGACGCTGCCATTCTTTGCCATCATTCTGCCCATTTCTTCAGGGTGAATGCCACAGTAACACAATGGAATGTGTGCTCAAGTGTTAGCTGTTTCTCTTTCACCTAAACACCAGACTTCCCACCAAAACACATAAATGGGGGCACCAGCATCTGTCTGTCAACACCACTGCAACAATGGCTACAGGCACTGGAGAAGGGATAAACAGCATGAAGCAGTTCTCACTGCAGCAGCTCTTCCCATGAATTGGCAACCCTGTGAGCACGAATGGAGACTTTACCTTACAAAAGGCAAGTAAAAACATTTTCTAGTAAAAATGTTTGAGATAAAAAACTGCCTTTGCATTTTCAACAATGTGTAAGATAGGGACAAAGTTTCACCTCTTGCACTAGAATTACACTGGTAGAAATTCAGACCAACAGCTGCCAGAGTGACATCTAACACTGAAGTGACATCTAATGCATAACTGCATTACAATCTAATGCATAAACATGTTATCCTGAGATATTATATAGCTGACAACTCTTTTTTTGCACAGATTAAAAACTGTAGGAGCCATGAGAAGAACAAATACATGTATGTACTCAGGAGAAAAAGACCACTCTGTACTACTAAGCCACAATTTTTTCTAAATGGATGAAGTATATTTCTAGACTTGCCGGTAGTATAAAAATAGTGCTCCAAGATTAATACAAATTCAAATGAAACCTAAGAAGACATGCACAATGGAGTTGACAAACGTGGCATCCTGAATTCTCTGAAATTTAAGTGAAATTTTTAATGAAGAATTTTATCTATCAATTCTACGCCCACTGAAGCAGGAGCCCTTAAGGATGAAAATCTATTTAGGCAGATAAGTAACATTAGGCTGGGCAATATGAGCATCCTGAACTGCTGTCATTGGACTGAAAAATAATTCAAATTCTGTGGCAAATTCTGTTAATTCTTCCATTTGTCAGATTCCCAAATTCCTCTACTTTCAATGTACAGGGCTCCTCCTCAACAGAGTAATAAATAAATTTTCTTATTTACAGTATGTAGTTCACAGAACACAAGGAAAGATAATTTTCACTACAGACAAAAACTTAAAAAGGAACAAGACTTTAAATGTTTCCAACTTTTCCATGTTTTCCATCCCTCCACCTCTCTGCATGTTTATTAATATAAATTTAAGCTTTTGAACGAAAATACAATCACATATAACAAGGGATCAAAACCCCTTTCCCAGTTTCAGAATCAGGATAGTACAGACAGGCATTACCAAAAATGCTGAATTTGAAAGAACAGATCCTGGTGCAAATCCATCTCCTGGCTAAAAACACTGATACAATTAATTCTCATAAATTTTATTATTTTTTAATCATTCTATGGAAGATACCCTTCCCCTCCAAAATACAATTTTATTTGGAAAAACAAACATACAGAAAATCCTCATCAGTTAAAAACCTGCTGTAACTTAGAAATGTTATTATTCATATTCTTAAAGCTCTTGCACATGCAGAAGAAAATGAATGCTCCAACTGGGTCACATCAAGTAAAAGTAATTTTTGAAAAGTACTTTTCATTGCAAAACATGTCAATTCTGTAAACCATGGACTACAAACTCTCTTCATTTGTCTATTAAATCTTATTTTAGGCAGAGGCAAGAGGCAATAAGAATTAAATTACGATAGGAGAAGATGAAAAAGAGTAAATCCCATACCTGACAGTTTGATTTTTAACATGAAGAATACAAAACCACAGAATAATTATTCAGCCTGGAAGAGATCTCAGGAAGTTACAGGCAAAAAGGTTTAAACGAAAATACACCATCCCCCTTAAAGCAGTTAATTTGGTATATAGTTAATGTGCCTCCAGTAAAGTGAACATTTTTTAACTACGTGCATAATCAAGATGAAAAATGGAACAGCTGTGTAGCTGAATATACATGGAGTGTACATACCTGACCTCTTCTATAGACATGTACACTTAACAAGAAAACTTCTTCAAATTACATCATGCCTATTTTATGGGTGAGTTTTTTACAAGAGCTAGCTCTTCTAAGCACAGGCTGCACTGGTCACTGGGCAAAATTCCTGAACTCTGAACAGATATTAGTAAGAATTTTCACTTAATGCTGTGGCAAAATCACTTAATCATAAGAAGCCAAAAAAAAAAGTGCAAAAAAATCATACATCATTTTCTCATTTTTAATTTAGTAATTATTGAATGGTTTCAGAGCAGGCACTACATTGCTTCAAACACAATCAAGTATCATTGAAATAATGTCAAAAAATAACCTCTTCACCTCAGTATACACACGCGCATATACACAGACATACACAAATTAATTTAGAAAACCTGTACATATGTATTTTTCAGGAAGCAACTCAAAGAACTGTACCACACAAAATTAGTTTCCGTACTCTGACACACTAAAAATTATAATCCATTTTCCTGAAGATAGGGCTTAAGGACACAAAATGCCATGCAGTACTATTTAGTAGAAAATGAACTGGTAAATAAATTTATCTGTTTAGGGCTTAAAGAATACACAGAACTCTTTAAATAAAGAAATGCAAATTTAGCAGAAATATTTACTGTCCTTGAGCTATGCAGGCCTCAGTTATTTATGTTAACTGAAGCTTATCCCCTTTGTAGAAAACAGAAACAAAGTATACAACTGGAAATCCAGGATACTTTATTTTCTGTTACTGGCAGCAAAGCTGGTTCAAGAAAGGAGTGTCCTTGTTGAATCTGAGTCTGAAAGTCCATCATCTTGATTAGTTGCCTCATAATCACCTGTATTATCAGCTAATTCAACATCTTGATCATCATTACTCTCTGCGCTGTAATCAACTTCTTCAAGGAAGCGAGGCTCATCTTCATCCAAAACGTATGTAGTGGGGCTGTAACAAACAAGAAGCTCCATGAATCATGTTAAAAATATAATTATGATTAACACATTCATTCAGACCACGTGCCCTGTCCCTTTCCTGACATACAGTAATCCAAAAATTACCTCAGGAAAGGGGCAGATTACCTGAAATGGGACTGGCTTTTTAGTTGCATGTAAAACAACTGAGAGACAAACCCATGTTTGTAATGCCTTGAACTAATCAGTAAGTCATATACAAACTCACTATCCAAATGTGCCATGACAAATCCACTACACTCATGGCCCGTAAAAACTTAATGTAAATGCAGCAGTATCAGAAGTTGCTGAAGAAGAATCCAACTACCTAAGGACACGGCCATTGCTGTAAGGTATAAACAAACTGCTGTATTTTATTGGAACACACACTTTACTGAAATGTACTCTAAGTACTTGTAAGCACTGCATACACTTTATACATATGAGAGATGACAGAACAAGGGGTCACTGTTACACCTACTATTAAGTTCCCACAAAAATCACTTAACTCCTATCAGATTCTCACACATTTGCATCCTGGTAAAACTTAAAATTTGTCATGCATTGCAACTCTGAGGCAATGCACTTAGTGAACTGATGCTCTGCCTGCAAAATGGTCTATGCTCGTAACTAATGGTCTCAAAGTTAATGTTAACTGGAAAAAGGAAAGTGGAAAAGTGAAAAGAGGTTAAACAACAACTTTCTGATCCTCTCACCTCCCTAGGAAAGAGGGAGGGGGGAGGCAGAAGAGTGTTTTCCAGACCCAGTATTGACTAACACTTCGGACATAAAGAGAAAGATACCTGCTTAAAAGCACTAAGTAGTCCTAAATATTTCATAAGTATTTCTACATTCATTTTAAGCCCTAAGAAGGTTTTGTAATGAATTTTACCTAATAATCAAATCATACAGAACTCATACAAAACAGTGATAATGTTCTTGTTGAGAAACATCGTACAGAACTTGTATAAATATTTGCATGTTAATTTTAATGAATTTTCTCAGAAGATACACAAAACCTAGCTTGTCTGTGGCTTTATAATTAAAAGGACTAATCATTGCTTCTTTCTAAAGACCTTTTAGGAGCTCAGCTGCACCACTTGATATCTGAAATGCTATCTCTATTCATTATAAATGAATTTCACAGTATTCTTCCTCTACCTGTAACCTCAATGACATGCCACGCTGTACCATTTTTTACTGTTGACAGTTAATTCAAATACTGAGAGAAAAACTGTTCCCTAGCTTAGTGGGGAAAAAAATTTGCATTCAAAACTATCTGTATCATGGTTCAGTAACAACAAGCCTGGACTCAATTAGCTATTTGAAACAGAAAGTGCCACAAAACAAAATACTTTATAGGTTATTTAATTAGGGCAATAACCACTGTTGGTTAATGAACTGGGTGTTTAAAACAAAATGGTTTCCATTTAGGAGAGATAAAGAATGAAGAAAACGAGGATCTTTGCTAAGAAGTCTCTTTAATTTCACATATAGGGAACCCAACGTACAATAAGGATACATGCTTTGCATGAAGCACCTGTGGGAGAACTAGCAAAGGAATACAGATTTTTTGTATTTTCTCCTGTGATGCTTTCTGCCCCAGAAAGTCACCACCTACCAACAATTTCCCTAAGGAAAAAAAGATGCCGGGGAAATAAAAAGTTTAAATGTTTCATTTATTTAAAGAAACAAATGAAAGGGACTTTACCAGACGTATCAAATTCTGGTAAGTCCACAGATTTTTTTCAATCTGTGCTTCTAATCACTTAACACAGGTACTGATTAATATCTTTTCGTATGCAAGGAATCCACACTTCAGTTGGAAAACAGACTGTGTAATTCACAGGAATTGGAGCCATTAAATCTGAACGTTGACCCAATATTATGTAATACTTCTGTACACTAACAAAACACTACAATGAGCTATGTCAAGGAGAAATATTCAACCAATGACAATGGGATATTAAAGCATTATAGTAATCACTTCTAGAAATTCATCTTAGGTATAATATAGAATAGTAAAGCTCTCAAAAATTCTATCTACTTTTTAAAGTAACTGTCATTATTTGGACACTAAACTAACATAGCTGATCCAGTTAAGACAAAGCAGCCAACAAAGCCTACCTTGTGGACAAAAACTACAGAACTGGACACACAAGGAAACCACATAGCTCACCTCTTCAAAGTGTCGTGTCACTTCATATAGTATGTCCTATATTATATTGTCTTAAAAACCACACAAGTATATTTATTCAATATACTTTTTTTTATAGTTGCATAAATTTATTTTACCTTTTATTTACCTCATGTATGTGTAAACATATAGGCACGCCCCTAACTTCTGAAAATTCAGGCAGTCATAAAAAAGCCAACCTGTTTGCTCTAACACATTTTAGACATTTGCTTAGGCATATGTACGTCTAGAACTGAAGGATATATTTCACCTTCAGTAAAGCAAAAATCAACATTATATGTTATTTTCTCTTTTCAAGAGAAGTACCACTAGAATAGATCAAAGATTAGAAAATATCTTACTTAGAAGATCTACATAAACCTTTAAAATAAAAACTGGCTCTGAAATCTGCTTCATAATAGTCTTAGCTTTCTACTACCATCCAGAGCAACACACAGCAACTTCTCAAATGTTTATTACTGAAAATCATGATTACTATAATATTCACTAAGGTTATTTTTTCCACTTTCCCTTTCTTAGGTTTTCATTTCTCATAAAATAGTATCCAAACTGTGTCACATACCACTCGTATATTTGCTTTCCCATGACATATTGGGAAATGTCATTGCTTTTGATGCAGCAAATGTTAGCATTGAATATTTAACTTCTCAGTAATCTCTGTTCTAAAGGTTAGCATGAATCTGAGAAGTGTAATTATTACTCCACTGTTTTCCTGAGGTTGGATCACAAATATAGAAATCAAATACCTGAAAAAATGTCTTACTGTTTAATCAAATCCTTTATTTGCCTCCCTGCTGCTCCCCACCATCAGTGTATCTTGTAACGATATATTTTTAGCTGCTGTCATGCTGATTCTATGGGTTTTAATTTCCTAACTTCTCCCTTGGGGTCTTTCTAATTAACTTGTTCAATAATCCTTCTTCCTCTACTTCTACACCGCCTGCTTTTTCTTTTAAAAGGAAACTGTTATTTTTCTCAGGTTAACAGAGATTGTTTATCCCACATCTACAGTATTGTAAAATAAGGGATGACACAATCTGTGTATTTTCTTCGAAGTTGTGGCTGTTAAAAGAGAATACTATATTAAATTCTGAAGTTCTGCATATCTTACCTAAACAACATTTTAAGGGCAGAAAGATGTACTCCTAAATGGCTGATTAATACACCTGATATAATATTATGATCTTCAAGGTTATGAAGAACTTTAAGAATATCTGTTTCATTTAAAAGAGTATTTTCTTCATCACCTGCCACTGAATGGAGTGAATACTGAATTTAGGAATTAATATAATAGTTTTCTAAAATTAATTTTTTTTATTCTTACTTAAAACATACTTTAATTATTGAAGTCAGCCAAACACACACAGCAGTGATAACAGCAACAGCAGTGGCAGCCATGGCAAGTTCTAGAGGCTGAGCACTAGAATGAGCTGGGCAGGGCCTCCACAGTCAGAGAAACGTGAGTAAGAGCTGAGAAACCTGCCAGGAACCATCAGCCCTCATGACTGAGGCTGACATGGTGTGAGTGGTGCCAGCAGATTTAAATGGCCCCGCAGAGTGCGAGTGACCAGGGTGCGGTGCTGTGGTCAGGACATGGCGCAGCAGATCTCCAGGAAGGGCACACAGAAAAGGCCACTTAATTCTACTTGGGCAGGAAAAGGAAGCAGTCTTCTTCTATTAAAAAAATGGCATCTACACATTGCACCTGTCAGGCTATAACCAAGAAAGACCACAGCCAGCTTGGGTATATATCTAGACCCAAACAGACTTGCTGAAGACTAAAAGAACTACCCAGACCCTCAGCTGCAGGGAACTCCATAATCTGAAAGTCCCCTTGGGCCCTGAAGGCAGAGGTAGGTGTCATGGGGGCAAGTGTGCCCAGACAGATAACCTGCCTTCTGTGCAGGCTGTCATGCTGTGTGAGGAGCTCATCAGGCAGCATACTATTTGGGAATCCAAGCAGGAGACCTATGCATGGGATTATGCACTGACACAAGCAGAGAGAAATTACTGCTTTAAGACCTTGGAAACAGAAAGTACGTAAGCATCCAACCCTGAGACAGGCTTGGTTGATTTGTAAGGCAAGGGATACAAGGGATACTGGACTCTCATCTCTGCTTGGAGCAAAAGAAAGTCTCCTCCTTGCTACCAAACTGCCCCTATATAACAAATATGACACTATGAGGCTGGGAGGAGAAAACTCTACAATAAGTAGTCAAGAACAAGAAAAGGACAATGCTACAAAACTGGTACAATCAACCATTCATACAAAAATGAGTGCCACCGAAAGTGCATGAAGCATGATAATTACTGGAGAATCCTTATTGAGACACATGGAAGCAACCATTTACCATCTAACCTCTGTAGCAAGATTTGCTGCCTATCAGGGCCACATTCATCATGTTCCAAAGAGGCTACCAAGACTGGTAAAACCAGAGGATTATCAACCACTCCTTCATGTGGTCGCTCTTTCATGTATGGTTGAATGAGGCTGCAGCAATTAGATTGTGAAATATCAAAAGGGATTTCATGTCTCTTGGAAAGACTTTGAAGGGATCAGGAGCACAGACTGTTCTCTCCACACCTGGAGACTAAGAGCAAATCATGACTTACCCATCTGATGGCCTTCTATGATGGATGGGAAGATCCACAATCTAGCAATCAACATGGGAAGATCAGTCTGTGTCATCAACTTAGACTTCTGTAAGGTCTTCAACATGGTCCCACACGACATGCTTATCTCCAAATTGGAGAGATGTGGATTTGATGAGTGTAGTGTTTGATAGGCAAGGAATTGC